GCAATTAGCTATCTACGTGCTAAATTTCAAGCAAATAAACTACCGGCGTGAAATATTTCATTTTTAAGCAGGTGTGTTGTGATATGTGATTTGAAGTATGTTCACATATATTTAAATATTAGGTTTGTATAGTAACCAATTGTCAGTACTAATTTGTACTGGAACCTGCAAATTTTTACTGGAAAAGTGTATGATAACCCAAAAAACTTGCAGAAGAGCAACAAATCGAGAGCGCAACAACACGGGAGAGCTGCAAATTCTTGCTAGTGAAATTTCTACTAGCAGAAATTAGCTAGCAGAAGAAGAAGAATAATAAATGCCAAAAGCCGCCATTTGTTGAGTTGGTTTAGCACAAACAAAAGTAAAATGAGTGGAAATCAAAATGTTAATGAAGTACTAGACTGTGTAAGTGCTTGTGTGAAAAGCAAAGAGCTTAAAACTGATTTATAAATAGTAAAATGTTTACAGCAGAATATCAAAAGGGTGCAACAACTATTCACTTGCAAGTTTTTACTAGTTTTGCGTTCAGTAACTTTTTCTGCTAGTTTTCTCTTCTTGTCAATTTTACGCTCTATTTTGCTTTTACGCTCTGGCTGCAATGTTTTACTGGAGAAGTTACTATACAAACCTAATATCTCAATCACCGCGTTTAACAGGCAAAATTCAGGTTAACTGTCAAATTTCTTGAGGAACGAATTTTGTATGGCCAAACTCGTTTTCTTATTGCACATTAGGGAGATAAGTTCCAAAATGAGGATAACCTACTTATGTGTAAATCTAATATTAACAAATTAATTAAATTTAACTTTCTGGCGGAAATTTGGCTAGAATGTATTTTCACACTGGCACCGAAACTGCTGTCAGAGAACATGAAAGTCGCAACCCAAGCCATACACCGGAAAGCAGTACCCCTTAAAAATGTGAACAATGCGCTAGCGGAGACAAGTACCCTTTAAAAATGTGGTGAAAACTGCAGGAGTACGGTGACCATCCGTACTCAATTTCCAACTTTTTAAAGTTGATATTAGTTTTCCAGAATGGCCTTATAGGCATAAGTTATCGCATAGACTAAGATATTTTCACATTAACGTGATTCATATCGATTATCTGGTCAAGGAAAAGGGCGTAGAATCTACTATTATAAGATTCGCTAAATAAGTAAAAAATTAATTTTTTCGATACGTAGGTCCATTTTAATTTTCCCTGCCACATTTGTACATATGTATGTATCACAACTTGTAATTATATCGTGGCGAATGAAGAAAAAAAAATAGAATACAACTCGATTTTTGATGTTTTCAAGGCGTGTCCTATGTTTTGAGATAAGTAAAATTTAAAACTAAAGGTCATCGTACATGTCCATAAGTAAAGTACATCCTCTTCTTACCATTTTTCCTGGCAGGCTGTAGGTGTGTTTTTGGTTGGTGTATTGGTGTTTTTGGTTTAATGTGGTAGTGTATTTTGAATAAATTGTAATAGAAATGGAAGAAATTGTAATAGAAATGAAAGAAATTGTAAAAGATAAGAGCAAACGCCAAAAAAAAAACAGGTGATCTCAGCTGTAGGCATTTTTTGGCAGTCAGC